CTACGTACGGTGCGAAATAAGCTCCGACATACGTGCATACATATATACACGCTGGCCATATATACGTCTTGGAAGAGATGGGAATACCAACACTTTACCCCACCACACGTGACCTGCCAATCAAGCAACTGTGAGATGAACCAATGTATCCGATTGGGTGAACAGAGGTGGGGGGGGGGGGATTTAAGAAATGTGCCCATTGTTTCAACTGCTATGTTTGGAGATCGAATGGTAACCTCTGGACCTCTGGATTACAAATCGCAATGTCATTAAACTCTTACGCCACGATAGCATTATAAATTTCACATATTATAAAAACAATCTTATATATAATTACGTACATAAAAAAACAGGCAACTGGATAAATTATGTTGCGTACATGTGTTTCAGTTTTAATGCATTTTATTACACGGAGTTTCAGTTCTATAACACAAAAGAACACGCCCAGACTTTCATTCCATTTTGTTCTTTTGTTGCAAGCTGCAACAATAATAGCTTGCAAGACAAGAAGGCTCCCGTGTATAACGCATTGAAAGTGGTGTCCGAATGATATATGTGCTCTTCGGTTTTCAATGAAGTGCACCCCAAATGTGTGAGACACTTTTAATCTCCTCCAGTGGGCATCATAGCCCGATCCTTCAAGCCAGAGTTCAAACTACCTTTCATGCCGCACTAATGGCATGGGAAAAAAATCAATTTAGATCTGTTGGGAAATAACAGTTAACTCTTTTATAGTACAGTTATTTAACAAAATTAGGGTACTCCGTTGGCAGAAATGCATTGCATTAACTATGGTTAAGAGAGTGGTGGCGCAGTGTTTGACACACTGTGGCATGAACCAGGCAAATCGAAGTTTGATGCCTTGACATGGATGATAACTAGTCCAGCCCCCCCCCCCACCTCTTTCACGAACCCATACTGACCACAATTTTGAAGTACTCTATGGTCAAACAAACCCCCTCCAACCCCCATGGCCAATAGCACAGCAGTGGATCCGCGAAGGGCGAAATGTCACGATTAATTCATGCTTCTATATTACAGCCAACTGAGCAAGAATACATTCGTGTGATACAAAAAAAAAACATGTACTCAAACAAATTCACTCCTGGAACGGTCAGTTGGCAACTGTGCACTGCAAATCCCATGCTATCCAAAAACCATTGCCTCTTGGCTCTCTCAGTCACCTTGGTAGAATAACTTGGGTTTTTTTTTCTTGGCACTTTCTTCAACATCTAGCTAGTGGAATTTCAGATATTGCCTCAGGGGTTAATGCCAAACGTATATCCTGTGCCAGTCACGTGGATTTCATTTTGAATCGATTGCCCAACTTGAGAATTCGTCTTAATGTGTAACGCATAAAAAAAAAACTGCCTTATTATTGTACATCCGTCAACCCCACAAAAAGAACCCTTTAGAGAAAATAGAGCCACGTATTATAGCTCTTGTTACATTTGCAATGACCTGGTACTGCGGGCTTGAAAACAACGTTTTCTAAATAAATGCATCGTGACGTAAAATGGCTAATAAACTGCATCAAAGATGTTTACGAGGCAAATTCAAGTTCCACAGGATTGGTTGGCACCAAAACACCTGATTGCCCCAAGTAAGAAAACCATCCAATCCCATTGGACTTGTGCAACGTCAGGGAGACACCTCCCCACAGCCACTTTCCAGCCCTCCAGAACGGCTGCAATCTCAAAAGCAAGAGTTAAAGTCAGAGGAGGTGGGGTGTGCAAAGGCACCACAACCCATGAAATATTACACCGACCCCTTGGTATAACCCAGTGGACAGCAGTTAGAACATCTGCTTTCAATGCCCGATCTGCTGTAAAATGTCAAATCACAAATCCACTGCAAATAGAACCTCCTCCAAACCGCGACCTTCAATCCATTCTGCAATTCATGCCCTTTGTGCTCACAGTGTGACCAAAAATATGCCCTACTTGTAACCCAATGTCTCACTATTTTTTTTTCTGTACCAAGGATCTTTTAGAAATAAAAAAAATCCAATTCCTGGAATGTGTACACGGATAGCCTGTGGCTAGCACCAGAGTCAGAACACACAGCCGGTCTTCATGTGGCATTACAATCAAATGCAACTCACCAGTAAAATGATACCGGTGGCTTTGTTGCAAGTGTTCTCGCTTATAGCTCCTGGGGCCATGGCTGAGGTGACGCCATTCGTTCTGTTGGGTTGCACGTTCGTTTCACGGCAAGTTGGTTAACTAGCGCCCGCGTTCCCAAAAGGGCAGCATTTGGAGCTCATCGCGCATGCATGAATGTAAGCAATAGACATTCCTACGGTCTAGGATTAATGACTGCTTTTGTAATTGGAGTCAGCCAAACTACGGGCCACGTGTCGAGGTGCCTTCTGGGTGCTGTTAAAGTCGCCACGTTCACGAGTCGCGTTTCTCATCCTGTACTCACTCGTCAAGCTCGTGCCTCCCCACACCCAAGCACAGTCGTCTAAAGGGTGTTTTATTTAATCTGATTCATTATTTTAAATTGCACGCCTTAAGTATGGAACGCTATCCTGCACCGCTCGGAATTTGCAAAGGAATGTTATCAGGCGGTTACTTTTCAAATTAAATGTGTTTTTCTGAAGAGCATCGATTATCTTTCCATTTGAGCAGCAGTTAATTATTTATGTTGAACTATTAGTTCCTCAAACATGCAACACTAGATGCAATCCCTGACCATATTTCTGCACAATCTTTGCAAATGCATAAGACACAAGGGATGGAACAGTGGCGTGGTGGTTTGCGCCCTACACTATGAACCTCATAATCTGAGTTCAATTCCAACCAGTAACTCACGCCAACGACGAATGACATCGGAACTGGCCCTGTGCACATCGCTTCACCCAACACACATTGACCAAGATGGTGAAGTATGGTCAAACAACTCTCATGTTTGATATGTTGTGTGCAATGGGGGGGCTTCATCCAGCAGCTGGTTGATAATAAATACATATCTTTATTATTATGATTAAGAAACAAGGTGATGTATGAGTGTCCATGCGTGCCCGCACACCAGTTCCATTTTCTTTGAAAACACAGCCAGGCCTCTCGGAGCATTTAACAAGCTCAGCAATCGGATAGGTCAACCTCTCTATATCATCTCCTCGTTATGCGCCCCCTACCCCAGAAATACTCCGGAGTCAAAGTGAGGCGCTACTGTAGAATACAAAATTCTTTGAGCTTGAAGTTGTATCGAGAAATCGATAACCTGTCATGTTCTGTCTGCACAGCACATAGAATGGCATTTTAAATGTCCTCCTGAGCCAGTTCAGGACCCGCGCTGTTGTAGGATCTCATTAGAGAAAATAAGAGCTGTTGATGCCATCAATACTGGGCATCCAGTGACGATTCCCACGGGTGCTGTTAATCCAGAGCGCGGTGTTGTTTCGAGTGGTGCGGGTATAATACAGGGTGGTCCAAAAGGCAGGACACATAGGGATATTTCAATTATTTTAATACTGGCATTAAAATATTTTGTTTGTGCTTTATGCATACAATGGTTCTATTATCATTATTCACATCGATTTTTTTCTTGCCTTTCAGATGGCATTTAGAAATGTAGAAACATTGACTAAAGACCAGTTCAATTAGTTTTTTATGAATGCTAAAAAAGGCAAAAGTATTTTTTTTAAGTCCTACATTAAAAAAATCAGTCACGAATGAATGTTAATGGCAGTCGTGTGACAAATGTAAACATAAATTCAATAACCCATGTGATTTGTTAAAATAACATAATAACCCTTGTGTCCTGACTTTTGGGCCACCCTGTATACATAGCAGCACAATGTGCTGTACGTTCCCATTTCACAACACAGTAAATTGTAATAAGACAATGTGACAACACGTTCTTACCTCTGCTATATAATATATGCAATCAAGGGCAAACACGAGTATAGTGCACATCAAAACGACAGTGAGGATAATACAGTATATATACATAAATACGTTACAGAAAATATTCGCAGCCTATGTCAATCAATCCATTGCTGGATGAAAGCCAGACCCAAGCCATGTTGGCCATGAAGATTGTTTGACCATACTTCACCATACTGGTCAGTGGGGGTTAGTGAAGGAGAAGATGGTGGGTGGTAGGGGATAGAATTAGGGCAGGGTCGCTAGCTGTGGTCCTGAATCGAACTCAGGTATCCCGGCTCCGAGCACGGTGCGCTAACCACTGCACCACCGCTCTAACTCCACAGGCACGGTGGATATGCAGTGCGTATTATTTTGCATTATCTTAAAGCGCAGTACTTGGGTTTCCAGTTATTGTTTTAACGTAACTTTATACATTCATATACAGGACATGTATTATAGTCCAATATAATAACATTGGATAAGATTCCCAAGCACAACGCGTGTGGCCACTAATTCATTGATTAATTCCGTGGTCAAGAATTTTGTAGAGTAGAATTTAAAGAGTTTTACAGTGAGAATACACTCCAGCATGACATCTGATAGGCTTCCTATCGTCACTCCACATCAAAACGAAACAGCTTCATTCCATAAGCCCATCGGCTATGCAGTCCACCGATTATTATTATTCAGCAGCGAATGTTTAAGAAGGCAAACCTCTGGGTCATTTTCCGCTTTCTGCATCTCATCAGCGGAGTTCGACTTGTTAAAACAAATACTGGTCGACTGAACACGTAGGGTTTCTGATTGGATTGCCAGCACTGTATTTGCAGGAACTCTCCCATCAACAAGTCCCTTCTTAATCGAGGCAAAAGAAACAGCGTTTACGCGCCCAGTTACGATACCCGCTCCAATCTGACCACATTAAATACATCACTAGCGCAGGTAAATCAGGTGATAGAGCAGCCACGTGAGTTTTGTTGACATTCGAACGCGGGCTTGGTCGACCCTTGTTTTTGACCGCCGCGGCGAATCAAATATTAAACAACGCAAAGACGCGCAAGTACACTCACACAGACACACAGACCCAACACGTCCAACATCGAAGTGCTTGTGCCCGCAACTTACCATTTCACTTTTAGCGAGCGCCACAAATGACAGGAACAGAAGAAGCATCATCTTCTTCTTCTCCATGATCGCCGACTAGATCGATCCCTCGCAGTAAAGCGCCTCGACTTGATCGGCTTGTTCAACCACCCTGCGTGGACGGCTACGCAGATGAATCTGGCAGCCGCGTTTCTCGGTGTGGAGCAGAGCAGAAGCAGAGAGAGAGAGAGATGACGATGTTGCTCTTGGATTTGCTTTTTGTGGGTCGCGTCCGATCGCCTCTCACCCTGCCAGCGGTGCCTTAAGCGCAGCCCTCATGCAGGAGGAGGAGACAGGAGCTGTTCAGTCGTACACCCTCCCTCCTACACACACACACAGACCCTCCTTGCTAAAAAAACACAATCGCAGCTATCAAATCAAGCTTCTCTCTTTTTCTCGTGCGCGCGCGTGCGTGTGTGTAATGTGTGTCCTGCTTTCCCCACACACAGCTCACAAGAAGCCGGCTGTTGTTTTATTTTTCCGAGTTTCACCCCCTCCTCTCTCTCTCTCTCTCTTTTGTGTGTGCGTGTGTTTAATGCAGCAGCCAGAGGAGAGGAGGGACTTTGGTAGCACGGGGGTTTAAAGTTATCCGAGGCGGGAGGGCGAGCATATAACCAAACCCCCCACCCACCTACCTACCCACTTCTTTCAGATTTTCAGCAAGGCAAGTAAAGCCTCTTCAACACACCAACAGTTCTTACGACTGAAAGTGTGTTTTGCACGTGCTTATATATTTATATAGACGCACACACACACTCACTCTCACGCTCCCCACTCTCTCGCTTCGCTTGGTCGCGACATGGCCAATATATGTTATGACATTACGTAATTACATTCCAGAAATCAGCACCACCACCACATGAGAATAACGCGAGTTTGAAGAATGAAGATATGTGGTGGTGGTGGTGGGGGGAGCGGGGCGGGCGGGCGGCGGTGAAACTTCTAACATTGTTCCAAATTTTTTTCGATTTAAAGCTTTCGTGACTGCACGGATTCATCTTCTTGGTTCTTTCGGTAAAGTCACGTAGAAGGAAGTAATAAAGTAATAAAAATAAACATAATAAAATTATTCTCACGACGTTTCGGCCACAACGCAAGCAGCCGTCCTCAGGTGAAAAAACCAGGTCTGTCGGAGAGACAGCGTCTGAATCAGACGCTGTCTTTCCGACAGACCTGGTTTTACCTTCCCTTCTACGTGACTTTACCGAAAGAACCAAGAAGATTGTTCCAAATGATTGCTGTGTCTACATCGGTACTTATTTTAACACGCAGAACAATGGGTGGGTGAGTGGAAAAAAATGCGAGATTGATTTTACGAAGGCCGTCTTGGGCACTCGTCGAATCAATGATGCGCAGTAGATCTTTGTAAAATCCACGGCTGGATGAAGAACCCCACGTTTTGCGCTGGTTTTATATGTAGTGGGACTTTGCCTCTACTCCACCGCGTGGGTCAGTGCGGGTTTGTGAAGCGGCGTGGGGAGGTGTCAGGATGATCACTCGTCGTTCCAGACAGCCGTGGCCTGGAATCGCAACTCAACGCGGTCGTGGTTTGCAGACCCAAACGTGTGCACGACAGATTTTATTGAAACAGCTGAACGCGTGCTTATACGAGGGGTCATTTACGACGTTATGATGATATCCACCACGAACTTAGTCACGTTATTGTAATCTGCCATGGTCAATCCACTGCTGGATCAAGCCCTCACCAAGCTACGATTTGCGCTCGCGATCCCTGCGATGTTTGAGTCCACGTAAAACTTGCACACGAGCCGATTTCATCGTTCCATCTCCCCGGACAAACGGCGCTCTCGGACGCGTTACATTTCTTGCATGTCATGGACATTATTCCAGAATTTCGAACACATTATAATTGTTTTTTTACCCTTCTATCTGGCAACAAAACTGACACCTTTTTACAAGGAGTCATGTTTGCATAGACCGCAATACCTGCAGTCATAATACAAACAAAAGACATAACTCTGATAATGTTACGTCTTTTGTTTGTATTATGACTGCAGGTATTGCGGTCTATGCAAACATGACTCCTTGTAAAAAGGTGTCAGTTTTGTTGCCAGATAGAAGGGTAAAAAAAAATTATCATATTTTTACTGGCAAATGAGGTTCCCATAGTTCGAACACATTGTTTCTTTAATACACGTGTCTTGTCCAAACCCACGCACGATGTTTCAACAGGTTTGTGTGAACCTGTAGTGAAGTGAGATCACCGCTGCCATGTCGATGTGAGTGGTCGTTAACAATAACAACGGAATCAAACTTGAAAAGTGCGCAATAAATGTTGAGAGATGCGTGCTTTGAAAGTACATTGAGAGATAAACACAGATGAACACGGGGTGCTCCAGATGTCTTATGATCCCCAATCTAATTCTCTTAAACGAAAGATATTTTTTTAAAGTAAGGTTTATTTAAAACAGAAATGAATATTCAAAGTGAAAAGAATGTTACGGGTCAATTAATTTGGGATTACAAGACATCCGGACCACCCTGCAGGTTTTAGAATATGCACTTGTTAAAGGCATAATTAAAACTTAATAAAGGCAAATGTGATTGGACTGGATAATGACCTATGGTTAAAGGCTATCGAGTGGCAGTCAAAGGTCAGAAACCCATCCAAGCGGACACTGACGCAGGAGATGAAGCGATTCAATCAGCTCGTGCGTGCAAGTGCGGGATCGTAAATATGTCGAAATGTCTGTCTCTATCCAGCAGTGAATTGATCATAGCTAATGATGATGATGATTATAAGTTAGACCCCACAAATTATTGGCGACGTGCTATTATTAATATTGTCTTCTGTGGTAAGCACTCGGCGCCAGGAGACGGAAGGCCGGTTTGGTGACAATATTTATTCAGGTGCGCCGCTGAAAGTTATCTAAGGGCTTTTCCTCGCGAATGCTACGGCTGTCCACGTCTACTCCTCAAAGAAAAACGAATGCTGATTAGATTTTGACTTAAAACTTTCGTGACTGCAGCAAATCATATTTTTGGTTCTTTCGGTAAAGTCAGAAAATAAAAATAAAATACAAAAATAAATTAAAATTTTAAATAAAAGCAAAAAACCACGACGTTTCGATCGCAACACAAGCGGTCTTCATTAGGCGCCTGATAAAGACCGCCTGTGTTGCGATCGAAACGTCGTGTTTTTTATCTTTAATTTGTATATATATTTAAAAAAAATTTAATTTTACATTTATTTTATTTGTATTTTCTATCTACGTGACTTTAGCGAAAGAACCAAGAATATGAATGCTGATTAAACAGCAGTAATTGCTTTCGTGTGTGCACGGGCAATCACAGACACACACACACGAGGCCGGATGTTTTTACTCGATGATGGTAGCAATTAGCTGGGTTGGTGCCCTGCGGTTACTAAAAAAACGAACAAGAAAAAGTCACCCAGCCCACACCGGTAAAACAGGAATTGCTGTTTGTCGGGAACACGGGGGAGGGGGCTTTAAAGCGTTTCCTATTTGCTAAGTTGACCCGATGAAAAATATTCAAGTGGACCGCGGCACAAGAGGCACACAGCTGCCTTTCGTAGTGTAGCAGCGCCATCTGTGGATGTGGCATTGGACGTCCAACGAAGACTAAACGGCACACGATGAACACGGTAGAGGATAACAAATGTCAGCTCGCAATACGCGCCGCACGACATTCGCTCACTCGAGAAGAGAGAGACCGACTCGGAATCGAGAGATGAAGACAGCCGGTGCTAACAATTTAACAATTGCCCAAGTTGCGTGTTTTTTTTTTAACATCTATAAAAAATGTGTTCATAAAATTAATGAGTACTAACCTGCGGGGAAGGGGGGTGGGGGGGCGACGGGAGCAACTTAGAGAAAATCCACGCGTGCGAGGGGGCAACGCTCGATCCCCATGTCGGATGGTCGAGATGGAGATTCGGCCACGCTTGACTGTACCGCCATCTCACGGCGAGCCAGGGTATGGCACCTCGATGCCGCACGCGAGCAGGGCGATTCACGCAGATTATAATGTCACCACCCTTCCCTTCCAGTGCTGAATTACAGACGTGCGCCACCGCTATCAGCCGCAGGGTCAGCGGTTTAATTTCATCCAGAGCTGCGGTTGGTATTTCGGGTGGACGCCGTAAAATACTCTACGAGAAATGAAGTCCGATTTAAACGTGGAATTTGCAGCACCCCTTCTCAATGCGTTGAAGGCCTCCCCCCCCCTCCTCTCACGGCATGGGAGTTATTTGACCATACTTAACCGTGCATATTCTTATTCTTGGTTCTTTTGGTAGTCACGTAGAAGGGAAACAATAAAATAATAAAAATATCAAACAATGCAATTCTCACGACGTTTAAAGTAAAAATGTAAACGTGCATGTTGTGATCTTTGCTCGATTGTGTGGTCTGCTAATTTGTTTTTGGTTGCTTGGTCACTAAATCATCCGTTGGGATTTTCGTGATGAAAACAATGGGTCCAATTCTTTAAATCAGTCGTCTATTTTTAATTATTGCAGTATATAACTCTACGACTGACATTTAATATCTGTGCAGTTAGGGAATTATTCATTGATACAACAGCTGGTCTGCTTTAACGTCGTCACATCCGGAACACCCTCATCTTAAGAACAATGTTTCCTCGAGTGCAGTGTACAATGAGATCTGCATATTATTCCAAGTATTTTATAATTAGCTATATTTTATGGTTACATCTTAAGGGCTAACGTTTGATTACCAACCAACTTTTTTTGCCACTTTCAATGCTTAACATCCGAAGTTGTCCCTTACGTAATTTTATTTATGTCTATGGTAGTTTTTCCCCCTCTATTAACCTTTAACTGCAATTAAATTATAACACCATCTGACAAGACGAAAACTCGGGGCATTACAAATTAAGCGCGACTTACCAAGACAAATTCTCAGATTGTCATATCTTTCACAGGGAGTTCAGTTGATACATGCAATGTAACGGAAACTTTTTTTTGTTATGCAACTTGTATGGTGAAATTAGTTGGAACAAAACAAAATTTGCAAAGCGAAATTCAAACAAGACCGTAAAAGGTGATATGTTGAATCTAATCATTGCCCTGAAGTGACCATTCAGAAACAGACGTTAATCGTTGAACTCACATTTATTTGAACCCAAAGTCTTTTTCATCATGGGACACCGTTGCCAGTATAAAAATATAATAGGTTTTACCCATTCTGGCAATAGGTGTTAAAGATGGCAAGGGAGGTTCCCATCATGTTGAAGCTCACCCCGAGCTCTCAAAGTCCTAATCGTGCGTTGTCTTTGTGCTGTTCGCCATTTGGCGTCAATCTGGCCTAACACGGTTTGAGACTCGGCTCTAAAGCTCTCTGCTGTTGACCAATCAGTTTCAAAAACAATGCACACTGTCAGAGCATCTTTTGTTTGCATGTTCCCCCAAAGTAAATGTGGTTAATGCAGACATGATTCCTTGCAAAAGGTTTCAGTTTGGTGTTTTAACATCTTAACAACTGTTTTATTGGCAGAAAGAGTAAAACCTATTCTTAGTCGCTGTAGTGTCTATAAGTAACATTGTGCACACAACCATGCCAACACCACACCAAACAGTACTCCATTATTCTACGGAAAGGAGCAGAAAGTTTATTTCATACAGTGATATTCACAATTGTTTGTTACAGCATATACAAACGACAAAATAGATTAATTGTTTATTTTGTGGCAATGGAGTCAGAAGGGGAAAACCTGATTGAAGTGAAAAAGTTGGACTAGGTACATATAAATATATATATACACTGTATATATATTTCCTTACCCAGTAATATGTATTGGGAAAACGGTACTGAACCCAAAAAAGCTGCATATTTTCCCCAAATGACAAATATTTGTTCCACATGCCTTCAAAAATGCCAAAAGATAGTTGTTTAAATTCTGAAAAGTTCTTACATCCATGTCTGAAATCTTGCATTGTATTGCTACACTACTGTATACCATACATCAGGATGTTGTGTTTATACTGACTGGAATTAGATAGCTCACCCTGTACATTCCATCATATTTGCATGCCTTAGCTGAATATACATTAAAACGCTTGAAAATATATGCATGTGAGGCAATGGTTATACAGTACTTAGTTACATTTGAGCCTCTGCTCTTTTTTTTATGGAACAAACCCTCCATTTCAATGGATGGGTCATATACAAGGCTTTCCACATAATATACATAATAGTATGTTAACAGGGTTATTTTCAAATGGGGGGGAAAAAATGGACACTATCATACACTGCTCACTTACAAGTAGACAAACTTGAAAAATACACCACTGTACAAAAAGGGGCTCCCATCACGTTACATAGGCAGGAACACAAGATACGATGCTTTTTTGTTTAAACATTTCTACAATGCACAATCTGCAATCACAGGTATAATTATAACAGTGCAGTAATAAAATCTAAAAAAAAATATAACTCAAAAGGCAGAATAAAAACTGTCACTTACAAATATAAACAGAGCTGCAATGCTTGCAACTCGCACGGGCTGTGTAAAAGTTTAAGGTAATGTTACCACAGTCACAAAGTACTGAGAATGTACACTGTATATATGCATGCGGTAGCCCAATGCATGGCGCTACTGCAGCTGGAAAACAAAAATCTGAATTTATAAATGTCAAAAGTTGTAAAATGGTTCTCTTTTTCCATCAACTGGGATACAAATGTACAAATGTACAATCTAAGCAGATATGCAGTTTCCTTTGTTAGCAGTGAAAAAAAGTCGTTTTCATTGACGTCTTGTTTTGCATGCATATATTTTACTGTATATATTATAATAAAACAGATTGTGTACATTTAATTTAAAAAGTCTAAATAATTAGCACATATTTAAAGTACGAAAAGCTTACACGTACGCTTCATGCAAGGGTTAACCAACCACGAGGAATGCTATTTAATCTCTCTTTACAGCAGTGACGGGACTATATAGTTTTTTTCCCCAGTGCATGCCTCTTTGGTGTGAAGGGCCCAAGAAAACCATTGAGTCAGTAGTACCAGGGACCATAAGGCTATTTTGCTGTGGCTGTCAAGTTATTATACACCTTATTTACATTCTATCTACATTACGGTGGTGAAAAAAAAAGCGGTGGGCAGTGTAACAGCGACTCTTGAGGCAACTGGGGAAAGTATGAGCACGATGGTTTTTGTCCCTATTAAGAAGCATGTTTAGTTGAAACTGCATGGCACAAATGCGCTTATCAAGCCGGCCCAAAATGTTTAAGTCAACACTATATATTGCCTTGAGGTTTTTTTTTATCTCCAATAAAAAAAAATCCGAATGTTGCAATGTAGAACATTAGCCCATTGTCATGAGTAGTGTAACACTTCTTTGGTCAGCTTTATACATTTGCACTGTGTAGTTTCAACCGAACACGACTTTTACACCTTATTATTCAAGCATAAGGTTTTACATTCTATTGCTGGAGAGATTTCATAATTTACTCCCTAAACCTCACACAAATCAAAAGTCTAGAAATGCTACACTACATCAACACTACCAACTACATCAACACCTTATAGTAAAAACACACAAAATGGATTATGATATTGGAAATAATTAAAGCATGCCTGGGATAAAATATTTTCTCCCTTAAATGTACACCTACTACAACAACAATTATTCTCTGGTTGCTTATACGACTCTCGCAAGCAAAGCTTGCTCACAGGATTCCGTTGGGTGGAGCGCCAATAGGTCCAAGGTCGGTGCTGTTCTTCACAAAGTATTTCTCCAGCTTGGCAAGGATGTGCTTGCCATACGTGTACTTGCGCAGAGTTGGTATGTGCGGCCGAATCTGCAAAAAAACACATGTTTTAGGTAAAGGTAGTCACCAAATCTTAGGTAGCAAATGTTCAAATCTAATTTTTTTTGTTTAGCTGCATACATCTAGCACATGGAGATTGCCAACAACCAAATAATAACCTCATTTAATGAAAACATTTACACATTTGTAAATTCAACTCAAAATTACTCGACAGCAGCATGCCACACCCAACTACACAGCTCGTCTAGATCAATGTTGTATGTTGAACGTCTTTCGCACCGTTCTTAGCCAACTTTGCCCAACGGAGGTGCAATAGCATTGTGCACCGCAATGCAATTTTGCAAACGCTTGCGATAGAAGTTACTCAGATGGCATATTAACTCTCAGAACGTACCTTGTGCATGAGAATTTTCCGCTGGGTTGGCTCGGCCATGTCGATCATCTTCTGCACCACGTAGTTGGCATACTGGTCCTTCATCATACTATAGAGAGCAGTGTGGGGGCCATCTGTCATGGTGCACACCTCTTCGATGAGCAGTGCACGCTCCGCACGAGACGTGTGAGTAATGCACTTCTCAATAACATTGCTGCAGACGGCAAAGGGAGAAACACCCATTGGTGACAGATCATGCATGAGCAGTAGAATTCGATTGTTAGTGAAAGTCAAAACATTGAAGTCAACAACTTCAACGTTCACAAAATGACCACTCGGAAAACATTTACCCCCCTCCCTTCTCCCGAGTGGTCACGCTGGACAGACACTATTTGTACAACCCAGTTACTGTTTTAGCAGAAGCAAAGGAGCTGAAACAACACTGCACCTGGCAAACTTGTGTTGGCTCAGTATCAGGACTTTTCCACGCATCTCCGCAACAATCTTGCTTTTGTCCTCCGACCGTCCATGTTCAAGAACGTGCTGTATTACATAGTTTCCATACTGATCCTGAAAACAAGATGTATGGCAGTACATTGAGGGAGAGAGGACACTCATCTTTACATGTGTAATAATAAGGCGACTAAATAGAACATTTTTTTTTTACTAATGTTAAATAAAATTCAGATTTAGCCTTAGTTCAAACTAGTAAATTATTTGCCTAAAATGAACAGTATTAACCATGATGGAGTGACATCGCTGGATGTCATCATGTTGTGGGTGCAGTACCGGCCATAGAGGGGCATGGTGTGCATTGAGTAACATCGCTGGATGGCCCTACAGGACACGGTGTGTGGGTGCCGACCTCTGGGGGAAGGTCGACCGAGGCCGTAACATTCTGGTTGACCCAGGAGGACACGTGACCAGTTAAGATGACAGGGGGGGCCCCCAAGAGGGGGCTAGGGAGGGGGGTCACGTGATTGAGACCCAGGTCCTTCCCAATGATTCTGGAAGGGGGGGACGTGGCCAAGGCTCGGAGCCGGCCACGCCGCAAAGAATATAAGCAGAGTCTCGAGAGGGATCGGGGTTGTTCATCTCGGAAAGAAACCATTTGTCTACGATCTCCGTCCTACGGATCTTCCAGCACGTGGACCCGGGCAGATGCTGCTGGTCCCGGATCCGTAGTAACAGTTACGTGGTAACTAGTGTAATTAGCCAGGTGGTCACCACCCAAGGTTGTTATTGTGTTAAGGGAAAGTGTACCCCCGTCTATTGGAACTAAATAAATGCGCTGCCTTCAAAGTCTACGTCTGCGACTCAGTTGAACCCACTACAATAGTAAGGGAGAATTTGCAACGTAAACAAGGGAAGGCTACTGTTTAACATGTAGAATTATTTCACAAATTTTGACTTTAAACTTTCGTGACTGCAGGAACTCCTATTCTGTGGTTCTTTCGGTAAAGTCCCTCATATAGAAAGATAAAAAAATTAAAGTGAATAAAAATAATACACAACACAATACCACTAATGTAGACTGTAACCTGGTTCTTATAACCTCAGTGAGTGTACTGGCAGTCTTTAGACATATTCTTGGTTCTTTCAGTAATTTTAATACAATAAATATATAAATGAAAACAAAAACCACGACGTTTCGATCACAACACAAGTGGTCGTCATCAGGAAAAGGGGGTTTAGCCTCTGAAGGCAAACTGTTTATAAAGGTTTAGAGATGGGCGTAGCCCAAGTGTGTCAGCAGCATGGGCTGGGCAGCTAATGTTAATGTAAGAGAAAGCAATGAGAACGCAGCAGGGGTCTACACCAATCAAAAGGGCCGCCAGGCAATCATTTGCACCTCGTTCATGACTTCATGAACGAATCTTTGTTGAGAACCAGTAGTGGCTATCAACAAAGATTAATTAATGAAGCCATCCATATAATATAGACAATTTCAACCGAGAGGATGGTTATATGTCATCAACCACTTTGGGTCACAACTTGATTTGTTTCTTGTCAATCTCCACCGTCAGCAGTGTGGGTATGTGGAGCGAGGTGCAAATGATTGCCTGGCGGCCCTTTTGATTGGTGTAGACCCACTGCGTGGGCATTAATTTCTCCGACATTAACATTAGCTGCCCCACCCATGCTACTGACACTTGGGCTACGCCCATCTCCAAACCTTCATAAACAGTTTGATTTTAGAGGCTAATTCCACTTTTCCTGATGACGACCGCTTGTGTTGCGATCGAAACGTCGTGGTTTTGTTTTTATTTATATATTTTTTATATTTAAATTACTGAAAGAACAAAAATAAGTCTACATTATAGACTGCCAGTATTTATTATTATTTTTCTATCTACGTGACTTTACCAAAAGAACCAAAGAAAATAATTATTTTACAGCTCCGGGCTTGGCGAATGTCTGGTGCAGACTGACCTGCACAAGCTGTTCAGTGTGCTGATGGAGCTCCTCCAAGATGGCCTGGGTCTGATCTGGAGTGCAGTGCTCCAAGATGCGCTGGATCACTCGACAGCCATATGGATGGGTAGACAAAGCAAATACCTGGAAAAAAATAAGGTTCATGGTGGACATGTTATCCATTGTGTAAATGTTTGTTTTGTATGTTCTAGGGCAACATGCCCTTCTCTCCGTGGCTTTGTGACTAAATGTTTTTTTAACAGAATAAAATTGGCAACTTGTTTTTTGTGAGAAATATTTTTTACGCACTACAGTATTTTTCTCATAATGGATATTTCTTTTGACTAAAAACACCAAATGAAAAGTATGCAGCACTATGTATGCATATAACAAAAGTACATTTGTGAGGAATGCAATATACAGTACCTGTCCTTTAAACGCATCAATGATGAATTGCAAAGAATGGGGTGGAACACATTCAATGCATTTCTGCACCACATGATTTCCATTTTGATCCTTGACACACTTCAAGACATGGCCATCCAACTCCAGGACCATTTCGTTCTAGGAAAAAAACAGGATTGGAAACAGTTTTTATTTGTCTAAAGAGGATACATTAAGTGCAATGGTGAACAGATATCCCATTTATCCTTCAGGCAATTTATTTTTGTTTCCTTTTCTATGGAAGCAACCTGTTACACTTAACAATCAAGCTACTATTTATTCAGGTAAGTACACATCACCACCTTTCAAATAAAACATTGAAGACCTTTAGGGATTTTTTTATTGTTGCCAAATCAGATTTTAATTACAATTCTGTCCCCCTATTTCCTGTTGTATAATCCCAGGCAAGTACCTGCTGCTCAGGAGGAATCGATTCAAGAGCCTTTTGAATAACCCGGCAACCGTACATCTGCAAGGCCAAAGGAAGCACGTGTCCTCTGATTCGCTGGGCGAGTGCTTGCTTCTGGTCAGGGCTGCCAAACTGTAAGGACATTGACGGACACGATTTTTCACACAGCAAGTTTGAAAGCAATAGTGCAAGTCATAAAATACATTAAAATGTAATAAAATAGTTGTGTAAATTCTGCCATGTGGCCATTTATGATAAAAAAAAATCTGGCTCAGAACAAGAGTACAATTTAAAGGTATCTTCACCAAACCGCTTAACAGCAATTCTCAGTGAGGGCAAGTGTGTCATCATTGCCAGATTACCACAGCAGTAACTTACATAATGAATCTATCAAAGCAATACATTGCAACCTCAAAACTTTACTGGGATGTATAGCCAATTTAATTTTTAAGAGTGTTCCCCGCATGTGAGAAGAAAATGGGAGCACCATAAAGAAACCAATGCATGAGATAACTCACAAGGTACACACAAATGGGTTCTTGGACAATACATTGAGAAATAATGCTTGAATGTAATTTTCTGCTTTGGTATGCATAATGGAAAGACGAGAGGAACGTTGTTATACAATCATAAATTAACCACTGTTGTACGAATATCAGAATTAAATAATTTTCTTTGGTTTACTTTAACATGCTCACGTTTATGCCGTATTTAAACTCCGTCGATTTTCACTAAATTTACACTTATTACTGCATGTAATCCAATGTTTTCAATGTTCCAAATACAATTACATTACCATGTTTCTATTAAAATGTCCAAGTTCAAAGCCCAATAACAATGTACAAATCAATAATATGCCACTACAATGTTATAATTGATTATATTTATGGCAGACCTTATTTAAAAAATATTCCTCCAAATAAGACCTTGGCATCAATATTGTAGTCTAGCCAGCATTGTGTTTCCTACATATTTCCTGCCTATTTAGAGCTTTGGGATTCTCCTTGCAAGCAATTGTGTGAACACAAATATGTGAAGCAAAATTTTGAAACACCACAATAGGTAAAAGTATCTTATGACCTTTCATAATTTTGTAGCTATCTTATGCCAATCAAATGTAATTTTTTATCATGTATTTAAAATAAAAAAAAACATTTGCAATATCTGACATTAAGCTCTTCAAGAATGCTCCAAGTAATGTACTTATATGTATAAGAGGTCTGCTACATGGTATATTTAATATAGTATGTGAACATTCGTGGAAATGTGACAACTATACAAGCATCATACGTGGCCAGTGATAATGTACAATTTAAAGAAAAAAATATTTTTAGAAAGACTTGGGTTAGGTAAATTATTAAATAATACATCTCGCTTGGTATCATCTATTTATTATCAACAATGCGTCAATTTTTTTCACATGTCAAAAATGTCAAATTGCTATTTATAAAACTTGTGAAACATTGCAAAAGAATTGCATCCCATTCTTACCTCAAAAAACTTTTGTATCACATAGTTTCCAAAGACATCGGTCATGAGCTGGTAGGCCGAATGCAATATCTCAGCGAAAACCATCTGTCGCTCCGCTGGGATGGCTCTCTCCAACTTTTGCTGTATGAATCTGCACGCCAACAATACAAATCAGTGCTTTCTAACAAAGGATCAATTTCTTCTTACACAATTCCAAGTTAATGGGCAAAAAATAACAATCCAAATGTATTAAGAATTTTTCTGGACATTTTTTTAAAGAAACAAAAAAATTAGGAATTAATGTATCCACCGCATTGAGTCATCGGGAAACAATTACCTTTATTGCACCCACATTGTGTGCGGGGGGAACCTTACCTAGAGCCGTGCTGGTCTTGGGAGAATTCAACAATGTGCCCTGCCAAGTCACGGAGCTGCAGATTTGGGAAGCGGTTGTTGCGGAAGTCCTCAAGCAGGCGGCTGCGCCCAGTGGGCATCATCTCCGTCTTGTGGGTGTAGCGGGGCCGCAGTGTTGGGAACAGCTGGCTCCCGGAGCCACCAAACAGGCTCGACGTGGTGCCACTCAGACTGCGATATTTGGCCTCGGCGCCCGGTGCCGCAGAAATGAAGCGACCACTGCCATTTGGTAACCCTGCAGGATTGCCAATATAAATTTATTTTAAATTAGCAACGTGCAAAAGTGTACACAGATTTATATGAAAGAAAATACGAACTTGTTTCCTCATCCTTTACCAAATAAGTGTTACTGGTGTATTGGACCGACGTGAATTTATTTGAAAAGGTGTTAACATGCTGAATTTTGCATTAAGCTGATTTTTATAAACCTTTATCATGAGTCTCGATGTTTATACCATGTGTTTTGGGTAAAATCCAAAGTCGTATGCTATGATCAGTTGCATCATTTATCAGCTTCATGGTATGCAACATAAAGTGAAATAAGCTTCAAATCTAGTTATATGCAACAGATGTGGTACGATACATAAAACACCATTTGTGCAAACATGAAGGTAACTGCATTCCCAAGTTAATGAAAAACGCCAGAATTGTACACCTCTGATCAACAGAAAAATGTAAGGTACATACCAATGTTAAGGCTGGATGAGGATCCATGAGAGGACAGGGAGGGTGGTGGCGTGAGGGATCCTGGGTTATGATTAGGGGGGAGCATGCCAATGGGCCCAGGTGAGGAGGAGAATCCAAGCCCATTGTAAAATGACTGGCTGATGGGGGCCAGGCCGCTGCCTGAACGCTTGTAGTCGAGACTTCCAGACAACGAGTCCCTCCGAGATCCACTTGTCATTGCAGAGTTACCTGTGCAGGGACCATAGTAATGCAATTGTATCAACGTGCAAACACTTGTGTTCCATTAAGAATTGGAGATTGTTACTTTAAAGTCTGGCTCAGGCAAAAAGAGTACAAAAAATGTTCTCAACATAAACATCCATATAGCAATGTCTCAGTGAGGGCAAGAGTATCATCATAGCCAGACTATAGATTCATTATAATTTAAACCCATCCCATTTAGGTATGAACATGTCAAGCATGTTTTTTTTTACAACAGTATACACTTTTACAATAGCCACTAGCAGCAATTATGCTTCAATAAGGCAATCTTAAATTCATGCTGTCGTTCATTTCAAACGACAAGTGTGTGGTCTCAAAAACACTGCCAATCAAAAGTCCGTTGACTTTTCTGCTTACCAGTGGAAGCAAATGCTGAGAGACCTGATCCAATGCCTGCACCCACCAGGGAGCTGTTGTTGCCAAAGCCAAGAGAGCTGCCACTCTGGGAGAACAGGGAGCTAGCCTGAGAGGCCGCAGATAGTGAGGAGTTGCTGTAGAAGGGGCTAGACGCCATGTTTCCACCCCCTTGTTGTTGCTGCTGCTGCTGCTGCTGACTGTGTTGGCTGTGCTGTGCTCCGATTGGGCGGAACAGACTGTTTACAGAGTTGGCCATGCTGTTGGCAGGACCCTGGGCCGACTGGGCAGCTATAACAAAAAAAGGTTAGAATTAGCATTCGAATTTACAAACCAGTACAGGACCCAGATTTTGTACATTAAGCTTGCAATTACAAACGTTAACCAAGGTAACAGAAACAATAAATGACACTGATAAACGCCAGATGTTATTACAGTTAAGTGTTGTCGTTTTGTGCAAATACATTAGTTGGTGTAGAAAAAAAAAAGTACCTTGTTGGGCAGCAGCTGCATTGATGAGGACAGGTGTTGGGGGTGCAAGACGGAGCTGAGCGCCTAGCCCGGCACGCACATTGGGATTCATCACCAGAGTTCCGTTCTGATCATAGTATGCAACCGGAGCAATCACCTGATAACCTAAACAAAGAAATAAACCATCAGTCCAAGATGTTGTTGAAACTACCCGGTTAACTTACATTGAAGCTTAATATAATTAATATGGTCTTAATGTATTTTGCAAGTTGGTGATGGCCAAGCACTATTACAGTCAGTACTGTGCAGCCCAAGTGTGGGTTTTAAGCGAGTGTCTTCACATCTAAATCATAGCACACGTAGAAGTCAGCAAACACATCAAAACAAGGGAATGCCAGTGCCTGACACCTTACTCGCACATTGCCATCAGGCTACATCCCGAACGTTTACCTTGCATGCCTGCTGCCGCTGCCAGTCCTTGGCTTAAAGCGAGCTGAGTGTTGGCTGCTGTCAAATTGTCTCCTGGCTGCTGGACCTGCTGGGCTTGGTTTGGAGTGAGTGGTCTCTGGCCACTTGCCGCCCTCAACATCTGAAACGCGTCGAGAAAAGCCACGATTACAAATGAATAGAAATGGTAAATCTATTTTTGGTATCTTCTTGGTTCTTTCGGTAAAGTCACGTAGAAGGGAATAAAATAATAAAAATAAAACATAATAAAATAATTCTCACGACGTTTCGGCCACAACGCAAGTAGCCGTCCTCAGGTGAAACCAGGTCTGTCTGACTTTACCGAAAGAACCAAGAAGATGAATCCCTGCAGTCACGAAAGCTTTAAATAGAAATCTATTTTTGGTGATAAATTTCAAATGACAATGAAGCTTTCATTGTGAAGTGTTTTTACCTGAAGCTGCCCTTGCTGTGCCTGGGAAGCCGCGGTCTGGTTTGGACCATTTGGTGCACCATTTAGCGCCTGCTGCTGGAATAAGTTGGCAGGATAGACCCCCCACGGGAGGCCATAGTACTGGGGAGGTACCACTGCAGGGCCTGCTTTTCAAAAACAAAAGTAATTTTCCAAGTGACTTGATGAAAGGCAAAACAAAAACCCAAGTACAACCAAATTAAGTACAAATATTTTGTGGTAGCAAGTACTTCCATGCAAACACACAATTGGTATTATAAAAGAAGTAAGATGTAACAGAAATCGCATGTGGTTACGGGGCCTTAAAATCAGGTCTGGCTCAGTAGAGTACATGTAAAGACTCTCATAATTGAATGACCCAAAGGACATTCTCAGTGAGGGCAAGATGTTTCATCATTGCCAGACCAGACTTTTATAGACCACTAAGGCCATTCATATATGCAATTTTTACATAATTAAACATTAATACCAGAGGCTTTATATAAAATATATCGACCTCAACGTTTTACATTACTACAGTGAGAAATGAGATGACCACATTCAACTACTAAATAACTACTGCTCACAAGTAAAATTGAATTATTGTCCCCTTTCATTCCAAAATAATAAGTATTCACCTGCAAGAGTGGCAGCTGCAGCTAGCCCAGCAGAATATGGGTCACTTCCTGGTGGGCCCTGGCTTATGATGTAGGGATTGTGCATTATTGTTGGAGGAAGACCAGCTGAAAACATGCCTGTGGAATGCACATGCAGATTGCGTAGACAACTCAACTTTAAATTTTTTTCTCCACAATCTTATTCACAGTGACGAGCACACATTATCATCAAAGTTGACAGGTTAATGCACTAATAATCATAAACTTTCTGTACGGTCAGGCTCAGTTTCAAATGAGTACAAATAGGAGTCTCATCAAAGAACCCAATGGGTTTCTCAGTGAGGGCAAGAGAATCATCACAGCCTTGACCATGAATAATTAATTGAAAAGTACAATTAAAAAGGCAACTACAACAAGTAAGTAAAAGCATGATAAAAAAACATTTAAAACAATTCCAATTGCATGAAATCTTACCAACATGCTGCTGCTGTGCTGCTGCAAGGGCATATTGTTGTTGTTGTTGCTGCTGCTGCTGTTGCTGCTGTTGTTGTTGCTGTTGCTGGCTGTTGGCCAGCTGTTGCTGCACAGCTTGCATATTTGACACACGTTGGAATAGCTGAAAAAGGACCACACAAATGTATCATTAACTTACAATTAACCATTGTATGTATTAAAATGTATATTACACTATCGTTATACAGCATATACATATTTTACATTTTACAATGCATTAAATAGCTGTTGTATTCTAATCGACTTGATGTATCCCAGGTCACTCTTGCAAAATAGGTAATCATCATGCATCTCTGGACTGGCATGTATTTTCATTTGCTGGATTAAATAGACTAACGAACAACATTTTACACAATTAAGGATGAAAATTTCACCCAGAAGCAAGTCGGACAAAAAAAATTCCACAAATCACCTGCTGCTGTGTAGGATAGTCAAATAGGCCGACATTGGCGGCAGGAGAGTCCATTGGCACCTGTCCGCTGGAATACTCAAACTGGAGCGACTCAAGGCTCACTGGCTCAAGCGGATCAATGGGCACGTTTTGCGTTTCAGGGGGCCCAAACTCTTCCACGCATTGCTTGGGGACAGCGTTTCCAGCGAGCGGTACCAGCACATCGCCACTTGACTGCATGACGACACCCAGACGCTCGGCCACCTCAGTCGGGGATTCCTGGCGGCTACCTGGCATGCGGCTGCCCCGTGTGTAGAAAAGCATGCAGAGCAGTGGATTTGGTGGGTACAAAAAAGATGCATTACATTAGTCGATGAAGATCATTTTACGAAAAAACATTTTTATCAAAGTGCATGTTAAATTCTACACATTTTTACAAAAAATATTATGTTCATACATGCAAAACAAAAATTTTACCTGAATTCCTTTAAATCTGTATCGATCCCATTTGAAATTGCCATTCCGACTTTCATCACGCTCTCATCATCCTTTTTCAGATCGCCACCCTTATCCTCCTCAAAGGGTGAAGATTTGCCCTTTTTGTCAACTTTTGAGACATCATTGGACTCCTGATCCACAGCACCCTGAAAAGGTATGACACAAATTATTTTAAATGTAAAGCTCTCAACATATTTCTCATTTAAAAATAAAATGTATCATGTTGCATCATGTTCTTGGTTCTTTCGGTAAAGTCACGTAGAAGGGAAATAATAAAAATAAAACAATAAAATTCTCACGACGTTTCGATTGCAACACAAGCAATCATCATCAGGTGCGAAAACCACACATTTTCTTGCTGTGGTTTTCACACCTGATGATGATTGCTTGTGTTGCAATCGAAACGTCGTGAGCATTTTATTTTTCGATTTAAAGCTTTCGTGACTGCAGGGATTCATCTTCTTGGTTCTTTCGGTAAAGTCACGTAGAAGGGAAGTAATAAAATAATATAGCATTTTATTGTTTTATTTTTATTATTTTATTATTTCCCTTCTCCGTCACTTTACCAAAAGAACCAAGAATATGAATCCCTGCAGTCACGAATGCTTTACATCGAAATGTCGCATCATGCTTTGTGATGGTACTTACAAATGCTTTTCTAGCTCTGGGATCAAGCTTGTCTCCAGGAGACGGGCTCAGGACATACTCCACCATGCTCACTCCGAGGCCATCTGCTTCTGAACGTGGAGACAGCACCGAGCTCATGTCACTGCTCCCATAACCACCTGGCACGGAGCGCCGCTGAACCATGATTGGCCGGGACACCGAGTGGTCTGAAATAAAATTGAGCAACGTTTATGTTTTTAAAATCAAGCTTAGCCATGAAACGTCAACGTAAAAGGTTTAGCCTATCCAAGTGAGTCATCGAACAACCAAATAAGTATAACCCGTAAAAACAAAGTTTTTCACTCTAAATCCTTTATATGCGTGGCGGCTAGAGTCTTCTCGTCCTCTGGCTTGAGATGGCTGCCACCTATGGGTCAGATGATTGTCTGCAGTATTAAACAATTGGTAATTAAATATTTAATTTATTTTCCATAAACAGTGTAAAATTTTGGAAAAAAAATTTCACGAACATTAATTGTCTCGCACAACGAGTCTGTGTGCAAAATGTCAGCTCGATTGGATCACGGGAAGTGGGTTAAAAAACGACCGAAAGGTTTGCACGGTCGTAAGCAAGCACGCAAGCAAGCAAGCAAACTTAATATAAAGGATTTAAAAAAACGTTAATTGGCGAATTTCTGTATTGCAAAAAACTTTCAGATATCATAATTAAAAGCGACAAAAATGAAATGCACCAGTACCAACTAAAACAGTTATACTGTACATGATCTTCAAATATTTCCTTCACAAACATGTTTTAAGAAACCAGAAAGTATGTGGATACGTTTATAAAAAAATGCAATCAAATTTGTTGGCATATTTCTTGACAAACTTAATAAAAACTAAGACAAGGAATTTAACTATTCGTAGTAATTCAATTAAATATTTCTAACCATTAGTCAAACGGAAACTCCATCCTTGGATAAATGGCAAAGTTGTCACAACGTACCTGATGCACCCCACGTGTTGTTCCTCCATTCATCACCAAGAAAAAGGCTCTTTGATCCATCCTTGGCAGAATCATCAGATTCCCAGAATTTCTTTGATGGCAAGAGCTGCATAACAAAAATATTATTTGCTAAAACTCCTGAAAGCACCACAGTACAATTTCTGAAAATAGTAGCCACAACCACTCACCAGTAACTTCCCCAAAACAGTACTTGAACAATAGGCCCAACTTGCACACATTTCCATACAAGCTGATATGGACCCTACAATTCAGTTTCCATTCCAACTGTATCACAAAGGGAACTTTAAAATGGAATTTTTTTTTTTACTTTGCACATACCGCAATTGAGTAGGCAGTTTCTATAGGCACTCACCTCACCCATACCCCTTCCTTCCAAAGCTAAAGCTTGGAATCCATGATTGAGATCTTCCACGGAGCGACCCTGCCAAAACAGACACAACAGTTAACGGACCGCAATTTGTGCAATTTTCCGGAAAACTAAAATGTCAGCATATGCGTCAATGACGAATTTTCCTGCAGAAGTTATTTTCAACGAAAGGCTTTATTTTTATTTTATTTTACATTCATAAAAACACTTAACAATTATTTAAAAAATGGCAGCTTGTTCCACTGTACTGACTTTTGGAAACCTATACATAAGCAAATACATTAGGCTCATTAATACTAATTTATTTAAATCAGTTTGTAATACAATGGAATTGAAATTAAGTTTGGGTTGTATTTTATCACACGAAGTAGTTTCAACAATATCATGCATTGTGAACAACATAATGCATATACTTAAATGAGTGGGAAAATACTCAATATGACCCAATATCCACAATATAAGCAATACATAATTTAAAAAGTTAGTGTCCTAAAATTAAACTCAGTAACCCATAAAGATCCATTGAATGAAGCTAGATAAATTTAGGTTTAAACCAATTCAGGACCTTGTTGATTTAATGAATTGTATCCATTTAGGACTTGAAATTATATTAATGTCTTATTTTCATAATACTGCAGTAACTCTGTTAATCCATTCAGTATGGATTCACACATCATGAATAAAAACAGACATGATTTGATGACCTAAATAAAAGCGAATTTATTAATTCACTGGATGCGTGCTTCAATGATTAAATCATACTTAACAACCTATTCAACAACCCCATTGTGTATGCAGCATCCAAGACTGACCATTAAAATGCAGCGGTTGCACTTAATGTTTGTTGTACTAACCACAGCACCCTGTTAAACGCGTGTGGGCTGATGTGGAATTCTCTACAAAAGTTATTTTACATGAACAAGCTCTCACTATAGGCACAGCCACTTACATATTTCACAAATATATATCGTATAGGTTTGTAGCAATATCCAAAAAGCAAACCTTTAGTGTCTAAAATTGCTGCAGAAAAAAATCCAGTGGTAGAATAACACTTAAATCTAACGCCTGTCTTAAGGAAACAATGGCTTGGCAACACCCCACATTCTTTGGGAATTACATCGTATTAAATGTCATAAGAGTGCCTGGGTGAAGCGTCTTACGTTAGTTTTTTGGACCGAGGTTGAAGTTACCATAATTGAAACCAAAATAATTTTACAACAATTCTGCATTAAATGTGCACAGTTCATGAGTAGATTAACTAACACATTTAGAGCATACCTACCCCGATTTATAATCTATACATGTTTCTGTAACACGTGACTTGCTCTTCAAAATACATTAAAGACAGACCACTTGTGAATTTATATAGCGTTCACAAAGAGAATTATGCAGAGTTTATCAATGCAGCAATATATTTACTTAGTCACAGCTTAATTTATGGCACCGAACAACACAGGCATTCTTTCATGTTTCATAGAAATCCCAGCAGCTTAAGCTTGAACAAGTGACAAAGAACACTGCCTCTTGGTGCCGTTTTCATTTTATTTCTAAGCATAATGCCAAATTCTCTAAGGGCACTAATGCTCCAGAAAACAATATGTAAAAATACATGCATTCCAGATACGTTTAACCACACAATCGCGTCTTGAAAAAACAAGAAAAAGTTACCCCAGTCAAGTGTTTGGAAATGTTCATTTACACTTTACACAGCATCGACTTTCATTCAGTCCAAATGTTTTCAAACGAGCAATAGCAGGTACAACATTTATAATCTATCGAGTAGATGAATCAATTCCGTAGGAATGCAAATGTTCATCCACCATTGAGCGCTGTGAACCGAATCAGTCGATGCTGTAAACAGGTCCTTATTTAGGACGAGTAACAAGCCCAATCAACTAAGTCACACAGCAAGCCTTTTTTTTACAAGAGATGACGGTTGACATTGTTTATGCATTTGCAGGGTTTAAATAATGCGCCTGCTACGACTATATCAACTGAGATGCGCAGTTGATTAACAAACACAAAACTCTCAAACATTACAGTCTGGATTTCCTCCCAGCTGACACTTAAACCATAACCATTGCAGCAGGGAAATCCCACCGTTCAACAACGTAAATGCATTTACATGTATAAAACACACCAATATCACAAACCTGGATTATGAACAATCTAGACCAAAGCACAAAGCCTACATCGTTTGTGGAAACATTTTATACCAAACTTTAAAGAAAAATCTCAAGACCAACACGACAGGCACAGTTTCAACCACTTTTATAGCCGAGGTAGATTAATAAAAATAATCAGTGGGGGGGGGGGGGGGGGCGTAACTTCATGGTAAATGAAATCCCCCCCAAAAAAACTTAAATAAAAATAAAAACTTCCCCTAAAACTGGAGGCGAACCTTCTCAGGTCTGGCAAACAATGCACAAACGAAACGGCAAACTGTGTCGACGTATAATGTGAACTTAATCTAAAAAAACACGCTACTGCAATGTACCGATCCTGGTCACGAGAAAGAAAGTTTGACAATATAAATTAACGACGAAAGAGCCACCCGGCCTCACTCCAACAAAAGTCGGCACACGAAAGCCTCCAAGAACTAGGCCTCTATGGTACAGTGCGCACTCATGTGGTCAAAAGCAGGAAGTTATTAACATTTAAACAATTATATACAAACGGATACTAAAAATTGCAACCGAATATTATGATGCAACCATTAAACGCGATTTAACGTGAACATTGGCATTAATTGTGGGCCCTTTTCAAAAGCCACAATCGAAAGTGTTCACGAATCAATTCCAAAAGTGGGACAATGATGCACGTGCGTTTGGCCGGCCTTACTGTACATTAGGCACTGTACTAAGAGCACGAGGGGCTGGGTCCATTATTAAAATATTTTCATTTAAAAATTAATAATTCTAAATGCACACTAAAAAAGAGAACGTGGAGCGAGCTCCACATTCAAATTGTCTAACGTCGCCTTCACAACGGTAAAAACGCCAAAGGAAACACGTGCACGCGAGGAAAGGCAACATCAGGAAGTAGACAATCTTTTGTTATAAACACGAACTTATAACATACAAACGTCAATCTAATGTTTTAAAAATATACGTTTGATGCAATAAATGTTAATCAGCGAATAGACAGACCTAATCACTTTGCATTGCGACGTTGTAAAGTGATTAAACCACGGTACCATATCCAAAATTGCAAGTACAACAGTACAATCTAACCCTACATTTGTAGTACATACGAACCGTTGCTATATTATTGATTTATTATGAAATAAATCGCCACACTAGCTCAAAATTAAAAACACTGCATACAATAACTTCAATTACAACCTAACGAAAGGGTTTTCAAATACCAACCCATCTCGAAACGACACCAAACCCAACCCACACCACCCCCAAAATCGAGATCACTAACCATGCCATCCCCAATGATACATCACCTCCAAACCATGAGATACCAACCACAACATCTCCAGACAATGAGACATACCGGCCACATCTTGCCAAGTGGGTCACGTTAACCGCACCATCTCCAGACAATGAGACATCACGGCCACATCTTGTAAAGTGAGACCGCACTAAACCACACCATCTCCAGACAATGGCAGACACTACGAAACCCACCCCCATGTGCCCCACCTGGTCAGGTTGTTGGTGTTGCTGCTTGGAGCCAGGCCCGGCGGCCACCTGCTCTCCATGCTGCCTCTCAAACAAGTATCCAACCATCGCGTCGTCCTGCGAGCGGCCAGCCTGCACTACCTGATGTTGCTGATGATGATGATGCTGCTGCTGTTGTTGTTGAGAATGTTGTTGATGTTGCGGAGGGCCCGGTTGGGCCATCACTGGCATGGCGCCGCCTCCTCCTCCTCCTCGGCCGTCCTGGCCACTTGCATGCATCATCGGCCGCCGCTCACCTTCATGCCTCGAAAGCAAAGCGAAAACAAAAAAAATACTTGTTTCATTCAAGCGAAGAAACTGTCGGCGACGATGACGACAGCGGCACAGGGAGTCTCGCTTCGATGTATTCGGGAGGGGGGTTTAATAATTAGCGGCGTGAAGGAGCAGAACAATGAAAGCGAGCACGCGTTGCGGCCTACGCGCTACCCGCGCTACCGGCTCAAGCCTAGCGCCTTGCCTAGAACGGCAGCAGAGAAACGTGCCCCAGTCCCGGCAGGGGTGGTAAGGGTTGGTGCGGGGTGGTTCGACTGACAAAAACGTTACGGACTAAGAATGACACCCCCCACCTCCACCCCCCTCTCTCCTCTTCCCCCCCCAAACAAAAAATCAGCAATGCAAATAACTATCCCATCTCCCTTCACCATCGGGTGGCTTTGCGAATTATATATATAACACACGCATAAAACCCCAAACATAACCACGCCGACGCGTAGCTGCGGTTATCGGAAACTCGCCGAGGCAATCGGCGAGGCGAAACTCACAGCGAAGGGCGGCCGATGCTGGCGGATGGCGGCGGCGGCCCCCGCCCGTGCGCTCCAGCATCACAATATGGCGCGGACCGGCCCCGCGGTAATGGATGCCATGAGCGAGCGGGCGGGACCCTGAGCCACCGGCTTCCTATCGCCCTCCCCTCAGCCAAACCACCCAACCACCAACCACCGCCGCCACCTCCTCCTCCCACCCCCCTCTCACCCAAAGCCCTCACACACCGACCAACTTGGTTTCGCTCGCCGTGTGCGTGCAAGGAAAGGGCGTTGTGGGCGGTTTGAACCCTGACCCTGGCCATGCCCGCCTGAATATTTGGAGTTGGCAATGTCTCTCTTTCCCTTTCTCCCCATGGTCGCGTGGATTTTTCTCCGGTTCCTCCGGTTTTTTATTTCATATTTAGAGTCAACGGGCGATTAGAATATTTGGCTGCATTAAAATGTCCATATCATAAGCCACTTCGTTGAGCTATCATTTGTGGACAGGTGGCTTCTGCAAAAGAGTATATCTCAGTGGGCATTACCAGGTAAAATAACAAATATTTAGTTTGATATTTGGAGTTTTCATGTCTCTCTTCATTTGGTTGCATGGATTTTTATCCTGGTCCTCCGGTTTTTCCCACCACATTTAGAATCAAAGTGCGCTTATATTATTTGGCTGCATTAAAATGTCCATATCATAAGTCACTTTGTTGAGCTTTCATTTGTGGATAGGTGGCTTCTGCAAAATATCTATACACCCTTATAGCTCAGTGGGCCTTACCTGATCATAATAAATAATATTTATATTTAGTTTGGTATTTGGAGTTTGCATGCCTCTTTCTCTCTCCCTTTGGTCGCGTGGAATTCTCTCCGGGTCCTTCAGCGTTTCTCTCCAACTTTAGAATCAATGTGCGTTTAGCGTATTTGGCTATTGCTATACATTTCTACATAAGCCACTTCGTTGAGCTATCAGTTGTGGCCAGGTCGCTTCTCAAAAAGAGCTACATAGCTCGGTGGGCCTTACCTGGTAAAGTAAAAAATTGTTTAGTTTTCTTTCGTATGGCCGCTCAAGCATCGGCAACCTTTCAAAGAAGAAGCGCCATTTGTGTTGTGTTTTGTCTTTGACCAAAATACTACTTGTACACGTACACCAAACACGGCAGGTATACAACAGATAACAACATATCTGTGAATCCCTTATCAGTGCCTACCTTATTACAGACTAATTCAGTCATTATTGGTCACCCTGTGCCCTTATAAATCTCAACATTCATCCTACAAAGTCCCATCGCAACGATTATTAAGTAAATTACTCTGCCGATTATCACTTTTTATTACGATACAACCTCTTGAAGCTGGATCCATCAAATGATTTCCATCTTTTTAATAGCCCCTCGCATAATGTAATGAAATTATCATAACAAACCCATCAATTCTTGCACAATCCTCTTCCCACCTCATCTTTGACTCACTATAGTTCCAGAGTTTGTTCTCTTTTCCTCTAAAGATAATCCTGCATAGCTCGCCAGTTCTGCAATTGTGATAAATATAAATATGTGGTTGTATATACAGTAGCTGACTTTTCTAGCTATGTGTTTAAATATCCTCAAGCTATAAACTAATGGCCATGCTATTCTAATCAAGAATGGCCATGCCATTAACTTTCTCGTATCTGCAGGATGTTTGCACAAGTGGCACCCCTGTGAGTGAATGGCATCTGCCATTTACTTACCCCAGCTGCTGCTGAGACCCACACAAGCCTTCATCGTATCCAACATTTACTCCTGCAACTCTCCTTTATGGCCTCCCTAAATCCATAATCTTCAAACTCTGGATGATCCAAAATACAGCTGCTACACTACTTGCTTGCTCCCATAAATAAGATCACATCATTCCATACCTCTCCAGTGGTTGGCAAATCGAACCCAGAAATGATTGTCAAGGTCCCAATGTCATCAAGATCTTCCACAAACGTGCCCCTTGCTTACTTCTCCCCTCTTATGTACTCCTCTCGACACACTCTCCACTCCAGAAACCACAGAATTCTGTAAAAGCCCTTGGACGAACCTTCACTCAGTGGAAGGTCACTCATTCTCTTCCGCTGTCCCTGTCATCTGGAATTACATTCCCCCCAGTGATCCAGGCTGTGAACTCCCTGCCCCCGTTGAAGTCCAAGCTCATGATCTTTCATCTGCCTATGGCTGCCTGTCTCTATATAAAAATAATATATGGCCACAGTTTGTGTGCAGCATATTGAGATGAGGTAGCATTAAGATGTTATGTAAACCCAAACTTTATTCATTGCATTATATGACCATGATCGTGGCATATCTGGCCTGCACACAGTGACAGGTATACCACTACTCTATCTGCCTTCGGCAAAAAAGTGGCCTATGTCATATATATACATCAGGCTTGCCATGCACGTTGTATGTATGTATGTTGAACTTCTTTCGCACCGTATGTAGCCAATCGTGCTAATTGGAGGTGCGTAAATCAATGGAGGGCACCAGCGTTAAGATGCGTTCTGATGGGCTGCAGCATCGGGTCTCGTGGCATTGGTGTCTCACCCGGTCAATGGAAGTAAGTATGAGGTCCTGATGTACCGTCATTGTTGGATCGATTATGGAATCAGAGCGTGTATGTGTGTTTGCACAGGTAGTAGGCTGGAGGGCAAATTGAGTGAAGAAAGGTGTTACATGAGCAGGAACAGGACTGAGGGAAACACAATGTCCGCATATGCAATTCTTAACAGAACAATCAGCATTATGATGTCCATTGTGGGTGCATGGCACTTTGTTATATCGTTATTCATGCAGCTGCTCTGTCCACCTTGCATATTGCCTGGATTGTCGCTTCAAGTCCTCTAGATCAGTGTCCTTCACGAATTTCCAGAGGGGGTCGGTCAACTTTCGCTGATAAGACATATCTTGAAAGTGTTAGGTGGTGATGGTTATGCTCTCCTTTTGGTGGGCCAATTGGCTTGGTAACAGAGTCTGCCAAATGTCGAAATCGATTCAATGGCCAAGAGCATGTTCCGGATGATGACACGATAACCACAGAATAACCACAGGGTCACTGGGGCCAGCGGTTATCTGGTATTATGTCATGTTCTAACTCCCGGTCGTGTGCATCACGATTTCCAGGCATCTTGTGTAAGATATCGGAGGCATTTGACTCGCCCCCTGCTCTGGTTGTCACAATAATTATGTTGAATTATGTTGAGGCTGCTACACATTGGAAACCATTGGGGTTTGACAGCATGATGGGGTGTTTTCACATTTGTCTATTGTCTGGGGCCAGCACATCAGGGGCCGCACTAACGGTCACCAGGGGCCACCAGTAGCCCACGGGCCTTACAATGAAGAACGCCGCTCTAGATATTGCAGGGAAGCATTAGCTGTTGATATTATGAATTTATGTGCAATTATATAGTTTTCCCTTTATGCATAGTAATTTGGCCAACAACCATCTAATGAAGCTGCTCTGCCCATCTAGATATCTTTAAAGTGTTAGATGGTGATTGTATGCTCTCCTTTTGGCGGGCCACTTGGCCTGGTAACAGAGTCTGCCAAATGTTGAAATCGATTCAATGGCCAAGAGCATGTTCCGGATGATGACACGATAACCACAGAATAACCACAGGGTCACTGGGGCCAGCGGTTATCTGGTATTATGTCATGTTCTAACTCCCGGTCGTATGCATCACTATTTCCAGGAATCGTGCGTAACATATCGTAGGATTTGACTCGCCCCCTGCTCTGGTTGTCACGAAAATTATGTTGAATTATGTTGAGGTGCTTTTAGTGGCAGACTATAATGAAAAATGAGGAATGTAATGTAAAGGATAGAAAGTATTGTAATAATGGTTTGGAAAGTTGGAGGTACGTTTCAGTTTGATTGATGTTCCCTGTCAGTGACTACACATCATACTTAAGAGAATGAGAAACAAAATGCTGAATTGCTCTGTCCCCACGTGTACTTTATTATGAAGATAATAAAGACCGGTGGCCATATATTTACTATGCAGTGGTCAGATTTGACAGGAAGAATATTGCCCAATGTCCACACATCTCCTGAGAAGGAAAATCTCTCGAGTGACTACATATTAAGTCTGCAGAAGTGCGATTCTGCATGCATCGTTAGAGAATATGTTCTACATATATATTGTTAGGACAATTCAAAATAATGTTTTTTGGGTTAGATAGTGTAAATATAAATGTGTTGTAAACCCACCCTGACCCAACACAATCAATTAGTAAGGTGTGTCACGTGAACAAAACGTGGCAATTAGTTACTAATTCAGCACACAATATTTACAATTAGAGTACTGTACAACGTTTCACTGGTGATTACAGCCAGCTTCATCAGGCAATTTGCCCGAATTGCAAAGAAGTCTTTCTGTTTCTGGTCTTAAATGATTAAGGTGATGTCATCACGATGTGCCTACACGTGCAAATATCCCAGGGGTATGAATGTAATAATCTTTAAAATAAGGGATTATGTTAATCTGAAAATAAGCAGTGCATATGACCGGTTGGGTGAAGACAACGATTTGGTACAATGTTTATGTATCCTTAGAAGGACATTTGACTCCATAATTCCCACTGTAAAATATTTTGCAGTGCACGACCTTTGCTTCACTCAATTATCTGGAGCCAAACTTTCCAGCCTACTTTTCCGAGTAAGGCAATAATTTCCTGTAATACATTTCCATAGGTTATTATAATGACACTATCATAAGTAAATCTGATATACTGAAGTTAATATCTTCACCGTGTATGTTTATGAATTTATTTCTCCAACCCCATAAAAAAAATCCATCTCATAATGTTATTGTGAATAACTTTTGTGAGATGGAAGGCATCGAAAAGAGTAGGCCATCATCCATCAAATAACATGGCAAATTATACAAGATGGCCAATAAGTCAGGATACATAGGGTTATATATTTATTTATAAAAAATGACATACGGTTATTTCATTTCTTTTATCAAATGTTCAAACTGAAGTCTACTAACATTAATGCATGCATGAATTATCTTGTGAAATGAATTTAAGACTTTTTTAAAGATTACAAGTGTAATCTTTGAACATTTTTCAATTATGTTTTGTCTCCATTCATTCAGGGTTCTTGGTCGAGTTTTGTAAACGACAGAT